GGCGAGCTGTCATGTTAGCGTCAAGAGGAGATAAAATTCACATTGACGGTAACAACACTGACAAATACCCCTATAGCTGTCAATCAGGAACGTCACAGCATCCGGGAATATACATCAACAAGACTCTATCACTGATTGGTTCTGCTAATCCCATGCCTCAGATACGTTGTTTCGAAGAAACAGGGTTGGTGTTCAATGGCTCTGATAGCGCGGAGGACATGAATATAACTATATCAGGACTGTTATTTAGTGAAAGCCTTGTATATGTTCAAGATTCCTCTGTTCATATCGATGGTTGTAAGTTCCAAGGTAGTAATCAGAGCGTGGAAATTGTTATTCGTTACGGTGCGTTCTCGAAGATGCTGGTTACAAATTCGACATTCTCTAGAAACCGTAGGTGCATTTCAATAGTTGTCCAAAGTGAAATGAGCTTATCGCCAAATATCCAATTAATATTCAAGCTTTCAAATTCCTCGTTCGATGGCAATCTTTGTGTAGACAGAGGCGGATGTATCTCGTTCTACAAACCTGAGTCCAGTATACAGACCGTTAGCTGCAATGTCACACTGGATAATGTGATATTCTCCAACAACAACTTCAGTTCAGGACTCTTCTTTCTAAACATTAACAATGGCAGACAGAACATATACCTTCAGAACGTGACAATTAGCGAAAACGCGCCATCGTCAACAGTCTTAGGAGCTCTGGCAGGTTTCCTCGGTGGTGAATACGTTGTCTCTACTGACGATGTACATTTTTTGGTCAATTCCAGTAACTTCAGAAGTGAACATGCGCGTTTATTCCATGTGACTGCGTCAAACATTTCATTTGAAATCCTCAACTCGCGGTTTTTTGGTCACAATTCCAAAGGAAGAGGTGGAGTTGCATCGCTGGTTGGTGCTTTTCTTTGCACGCTTAAAGTCTCCAAGTCATTATTTATTGACACAACTGCTGCCCAAGGGGGAGCTTTCAATATAGAATCCTCCAATGATGTAAATGCAAGCATTGAGGATAGCACTTTCTACGGCAATAAAGCAACAAATGACGGAAGCGGGGGAGCGGTGTTTATTAGTGCCTCAGAGTCATCATTGCGACTAAGTCAGTCTGCCTTTACGGAATGCACTGCTGGATATGGTGGAGCAATTTCTATCGAAACAAAATCGAATTTACCGAGCGCATATCCTAAAGATATTGGTTTGCTCTTGACAGTTGAAAGTTCCAATTTTACAGGATGCAGTGCTAATATACAGGGTGGTGCATTGTACCTGATTTGTGACACCAATACGCAAATTAGCCTGAATAAAAGCCTTTTTATCTCTAACGGTATGGAATTCGGGTTCGGAGGTGGGGCTATCTGGGCTGTTGACAATTCAAAATCTGAAAAAGATTTGAACGAGAACACCAGCCAAATGACTTTAGAGCACTGTACGTTTCTAGACAATCATGCTCGTCAAGGTGGTGCTTTATAGATGTCACTGAATGGTCCAAGTCTGCTCTTGTTCAGGCACGTCATTATGGAAAACAACAGAGCTACTGAAAAATTTGGAGGTGCTGCCGTTATCTACGACAGTAGTATTCAAGTGCAAAACTCGCGATTTTCTTATAACTTTGCAGGTTATGGTGGTGCGTTTGGATAATCGGTAAGGTACGTAGTCTTCAAGTTATGAATTCTGTTTTTGAGAACAATTTTGCTGCAAGCTACTCTGGGGGAGCATTTCTGATTCAAACGGGGCTGGTTTTCCTCTCCATCTCTATAGTTAACTCGACTTTTAACAACTGCCCAGCCACACACAATGCTGGCGCTGTCAATCTTGTTCTTACACTGTAACGGTAAGTATCTTTATTAAAATGTCTCGTTTCCAAAACAATTACTGTTCTTCTGGGAGTGGAGGAGCCCTAAGACTGTATTCGCCGTCTTCGTATGAACACACAGGTATTAAGGTTCAAGAATGTAGTAAGAGTAATGCGAAAATACAAAAAAAAGATGGTCCCAAAGAAGATACTCACCTTTTCATCGAAGACTCCGTCTTTGAAAGAAATACTGCACCATTTGGAGGTGCTATATATTTGGGTGTTGGAAAAGCAGCGTTTTATAATTGTTCTTTCATTGATAACTTTGCTAGATTGCGAAGTGGACATATTCACTTAGTCTTTGGTTTAGCAAGCTTAACAATACAAGACACCCTCTTTAGACAGATAATGAATGAATTTAAAAGGCATAAGATTATTTTAACAGATACTTCGTTTCTTGAAGCGGAAAACATCTCAAGTCTTAAGTTATATAATACCACAGTAGATGTTAGACCTTATGGTAGTACCGGCCCCTTTATACTGATAAAAAATGGAAAGCTAATAGACTTGGGAACCAACAACTTAACAAATTATAATTGTCCCGTTGGGAGCAGGCTGGACATTCTAAACATAACAGATGAGTCAGACTCGCTCAGTACTTGGCAGTTTAGCTGTTTAGCCTGTGCAGGCAATTCCTACAGTCTACAGCGTGGTCGTGCTGTTGGATCTCATGTGGTACCAGGATTTAAGTGTCTTCCATGCCCGTTTGGAGCAAATTGTTCTCAAAATATAATCGCTAAACCAAACTTTTGGGGTTTTAAAGAACAGCTTACTCCGCCAAAGCTTAAGTTTACCATGTGTCCTCTGGGTTACTGTCGCCCACCTGACATAAGAGATTTCCCTAAATATAATGGTTGCCAGGGTAACCGTTCTGGTGAATTATGTGGACAGTGTAGTGACGGTTACTCAGAGACACTTTTCTCTACAAACTGCAGACCCTCACAAGAGTGTAATGATAACTGGTTTTGGCCTGTTGCGTTGCTTTATGTGTTGGTTATGGCCTTTTTTTTCACGTTTAAGCCTCCTATTGTCCCCTGGATGAAACGTCAAGTACTCTGGTTTAAAACACGCGACACAACAGACGAGGAGAACGAGTTTGACAGAGGTTATCTTAAGATTATTTTCTACTTTTATCAGGCAGCAAACGTTTTTCTCGTCTCCAGTACGTCACTACGTATTTTTAGAACAATGTTTGCAGAGATTCTTGTTGGATTTTTCAATTTTCAACTAAGAGTTTCATCGGGTGGATTGATTTGTCCCGTTCCTGGGATCACTGTGGTAACTAAGCAGTTATTTTCTGTTTCACACGTGTTTGGAACATGTTTGATGATTGGCATTATTTATATTGTTCACTGGGGAGTTCAGAAGTTTCGAGGTCGAGAAGCACCATTTGCTGGTCCTTATATTGGCGGTATTTTACAAACCATGTTGCTTGGATACACAACTCTTGCTTCTGTCAGTTTTGACCTGTTACGATGTGTTCCCATTGGTTCAGAGAAGCAGATGTTTTATGATGGAAACGTGGAGTGTTTTCAGTGGTGGCAGTACATGTTGATTGCTTTTGTTTGCGCATTCGTTGTACCTTTCGTATTTGTTTTGTTTTGGGGCAGTTTTAAACTGTACAACCAAACACTTTCTGGGGAAAAATTAGTATTGGCCTGTTTTATTCCTTTACCATCTTTGGTTTATTGGGCTTTCATCTCTTTAATTGGAAGAAGAAAACATGGAGACAACAAAGAACCACTGGTTTCAACCAATGTAGGAAACGATGACACTCCCTCCATCAACATCACTGTCAATTCTATAAGGAGAGTTCTTTATGACTCTTTCAAGAGACCAGATGTTGGCGAAAAACTGTCTTTAGGATGGGAAAGTGTTATGATCGGACGCCGGTTGATTTTGGTTGTGTTGAAAGCTTTTGTCAGCGATCCTATGTCTCGTCTTCTTGTCATGATTTTCTTTTGGATTGAGCCATTTCGTGACAGTTTGGCCAACAGGGTGGAAACAATTTCGTTGCTATTTCTTACTGTTCTTGCAATTCTCAACATGTTTTTTGCCTCTTTTCTGTCGCTGGCTGCAACACCAGACGCTTATTTGAGTTTTTGGCTGTCAAGTTTTACAAGTCATTATTCTTTGTGCTGTACCTGCGCTATTTTGCCTTCTCGTGTTTGCGGCTGTTTTATCGCAGCTGAGTCGCCTCATCATCGTGGCTGGGCGCTTTTTGCGCAAATTTATGTGGATCTGTCTTAGCATGTGCGATAGAGATCAGAACGATGAAAGAAGACCATTAAGGCTTGTGACCTAATCACCATATTACTTTTGCTGCAGACCGTACTCCTCCTCTTTTTAAAAATCCTGCAAATATGAACAGCAAGAAATTTCGCAAAGGGGCGAGGATAATGCTGTTTTAAGTCAATTCAGTGCTGAGGCAGAAGCCCATAACCCGGAGCGAGCAACTCCCATACTATGCCTATGTCACGGCGTTTTTACGGACCAGTTTAGGGCACTTTTTCCCGCGAAAATAGAATCTCCACCATGTCTATGAGGGCATTCGAAGTATAAAATTGTAAAACGGAAATTTAAACGTTACTAAAAGGCAAACAATATAATTTTTGGGTCTGTAGGTTTTGCTCACTGGTTTGTGGAAATTAAAAGATATTCAAAATTCGCGACCGTTCTAAAAATAAACTGGTCCGTGAAAACGCCGTGACACGTGCGCATGGAAGTTGCTCGCTCCCGCTTATGGGCTCCTAGCTGAAGTCATTACAGTGCCTTTACCCGCCAAACACGAAATGCTACTGTAGAGTTATGAACAGGATGTCTGTCAAATTCATCAGGGATAACTATAACCATAATAATTTTTGGTGATTGTTGCAGGCATAGCATTGAAATTTGGAAAAACTGGCTTAAGTGTTTTCAAGTTTCAATCTATGTTCATGTTTGCCATCGGTATTAACAAAAGACGGAAACAGTTTCAGTGCCTACACATATAGTCTTAAATAGCAAAACTGGACCATTACATTTGGAATTCAGATGATACGAAGACACGTTTGGGCTTTTTTAAAGGAGATCATATAGTGTGACGTAGCTCCTTTACTGCGCTTTTCACAAACACGCAAACGTCCAAAAGCTGCGTTCCCAATTACGTTTTTCGCGGCCGTCAATCATAATTACGATCAAAAGCAACGAACCTTGAAACACGGAAGCGCACAAAACGGATAGAAATCTACCGATCACAGATCACAAATCATGTCCTTTTGAACCCGTTTAAGTAAAGTTCTGTTTCCTAAGAGGTCCGCTAAGATGATTGACTGCAGCGAAAAACGCAAACGTCAGTTGGCTTTTGAACTTCAGAGTTGGCGTGTTTTTGAAAAGCGCAGTAATCTAAGCGTGTAGTCCCTTAAATCAACAGAAAATCCACCATCCTTTGATTAGAGATCTGCAATGAAAGTGAAATCATCTTTCCAAAAGTTACCATACTCCAAAAATCCTGGGGGGTTACTTCCTTATAAGAGGCTAATGGGGATGTGCCGCTTGATGGGGTGGCATTTTCACGACCAGATTGACTATAGTGGGATCGCATTTTCAATAGAGTTACTAGAGCGCTAGCGGGGTCGCACATTTTCTGATTTTTGGGGTAAGACAGTTCTTCATATTTACGATTAGCAAACGTACCAGAATTTTTGTACTGTAGGTGAAAGTAAACTGTTCTTCATTCCATACAAGGTAGATACATAAGTAGAAAGTGACTAGGTAGGGATAGCGAAAATTACATATTTTCCCATAAGTGACTAAGATGCGGTCTTTAATTGGCCACAGAATAGACTATAATGGGGGATAGGGGCTCTAAGGGGCCAGCGGCACTTACCCAGCAAAAATTAACCGTAGTACCCCCTCCCCCCCGAGGGCAAAAATTCTGACAAATATTTTTATCGCATTAAATAACAAAGGGATTATATTACACCAAATTACATTCAAATTAATGTATTTATATCTATCTTAAAACACAGGCGCTCTTTTGTTTATAAGACGTTTTGATCAGGTAATGTATGGTAGGGTTATTTAGTGACTCTTTCTAAACCGAGGAGAGTGTCTCAAGTGTTAGGTATACCGGTGCTATGTTTGAAACCAACTTTCTAGTGAAGTAAAACTAGTGTAGTTGCACTGATCTTTTAAGAGGAACATTTGAGTCATAAATCTTTATTTTAGTATTTGCCCATAATTTTAGTTCGTTTTTTTTGTCGTAGCTTAAGTATTATTAGAGCCAGGACTTCTAGTCTTAAGCTTTAATCTTTAAACAAACACGCCTTCAATAAAATCCAGCCAAGTGTTGTTGTAGCCTGCAAAGCAGACGTAATGTAACCTCGGTTAGTAGAGAGTTTAAGGGTGCGTTTTATGGGAGAATCCAAAAGCGGATTTGTGATCTCAGATCATACAGATTCTTCACTACCAAAAACACGGAAGATCCGAAAAAGGATCATTTACCATGACAACGGCATGTCCTCGTGCTCCTCGTGGGAAAAAAAAAACAACAACAACAAACTGATCCCCACGGCAAAGACAAGAAGAAAAAGTAACATAAGCTACGAAAGAATATACGAAATGTACATATTTCGGTTTGAAACACAAACGTTTCTCGAAAAGAATACACTCCTTATAAGAATTTAAAACTGAAGCCGGTGAATTGTTTTTTCTTAATCACTTGGAAAATAAACCGGCCTAAGCAGACACTCTCATACGTACAAAAAACATGACAAGTAAGGGTTTAAAAACACTCTACCAATAATTTGAATCGATGACAAACATGTTGAAATAATCTCTGTAATTATTGGCTCAAAATTAATAAGGCGCCACCAACATAGGTCCAGTTAGAAGTGATACATGTACGGCACCTGTTGCGTACCATTTTTTTTTTTTCCGAAAAACCGCTTGTCAAAAATACTTTTTTCAAATCCTTTCCCCCAAAACGCTCAGATTGTGAATCTCAAAAATCCGGATTTGGATTTGATCCGAAGAATCCACCCTGAGTGTGCATTTTATAGATTCATGATCCGTTTTTGGATTTACCCAAAAAAACGCAAAATCCGTTTTTGGATTCGGATATCCACATTTGGATTTTCAATTCCCCCCCAAAAAAGCACCCCTACTTCACGTATACGACAAACGGCAAACATCAGATCCAAGTTGAGAATTTCTCAAAATATAAAACAGCAGATAAAAGCAGGTCAAAGCAATTCTTATGGATAAAAAATTGCGTGAAACTACTAATTTAGGTGTTGAAACTAATGAACAGTAAACAACAAGTTAGGAGAAAACTTGGTCACGCGGTACAAATTCGCTTTTGCCGTTAATTTGACGTAAACTTGATGCTTACCATCTCAAGTAACGTCTGCGAAGCAGCGCCGAGATCCTTGTTCTGGGCACCCAGCGGACTCAACCAATTACCGGAAGTGCGTGTCATATCTCCTTTCATCCTGATTGGCAAACCGACACTTGCTTTTCTTAACAGGCCAATCATGGCGCGTACTCAAATCCTGGTAAACAGGTGGGGGCCCAGAACCAGTATTTCGGCGCTGTTTGGCAGACGGACTTAACCAGAGTTTAGTTTCGTCTGTTGCGCAGGCCTAGAGTGTTTCCCTTTTGAATGCGTGATTATCATTTTAATGGTGTCGTGACATGAGTGGTAGAACTTGTCAACAATCAATTAAAGTAGTAAACATCGTAAGAATATTTGGCGCTCCTTAAGTCTCCGCAGAAATAAAAGAAAGTTCCCAACGAGCTCTATCTAATCATCTGAAAATGGAAGATTTCAAAAGGTCATCGATCTTTACCAATATTATCTAACTCACCTGACTACCTACATTTGTTTAACCATTCAAGTCTCAAGAGTGACAAAAACCAATTTTCAAGACGTTTCTGGGTAACTGCCCACCTACCCCTCCCCTAAGCCAACATTTTGCCCTAAGTGAGAAGCAAGTGTTAATGTTGGCTTAGGGGAGGGGTAGGTGGGCAGTTTCCCCGGAAGCGTATCATGATCCACAATATCAATACACAATCAAGAGAGAAGGTTGTGAGAATTAATAAAATAATCACCTGAGGGAAAACGCTTTGATATTTTATCAAATTCTCTCGACTTATTCCTTATGGAAATGTATAGAGACCAGTTTGAAGAATTTGAAAGTGGATAGAGGGACTTAAAGGGTTACCGTTTCACTGCGATTACAATTGCTAAAGGTCAAGACTCATAAGCGGGTTTTTACGAAAAAAACCGACATTAAAAGACGAACCAATAAGATGTTGTTATGTTTGAAAATAGCACTTTGGATGATGAATACAACAATCGAGTCAGTAGAGAACCGCAACAGAAACACAGAAGCTGATATCATGCTTTCGCCAACAATTTATCGCAAATACTGAACAAACTATTAGAAAAACAAATTTATATATCATCATGCGAGTTTGAAACTGTAAGTTTTGTGATGGTTACTGTTTGTTAAGCGGACACCTCTACTGATTAAGTGGTTACTATTAAGTGTCTCTCATGGGGAGCAAAGGTAACGCGGTGGTGACAGCACTCGCCTCCCACCAATGTGGCCCGGTTCGAATCCTGCTGTACAGTACATGCCATATCTGGGTTGAGTTTGTTGTTTGGTTCTCTCCCTTCCTCCGAAAGGTTTTTCTTCGGGTACTCCGGTACTTCCCCTCTCCTTAAAAAAAAAACAACAATTCCAGATTCCAATTCGATCTGGAACGCGTGGACACGTTTCAACGAGTTCCAATTCGTAAGAACTCTTAAGTGCTCCGTGGGTAAACAAAAAACGACCAAACAAACAAATTACAAAGTCTGTTTGTAGAGGCTTCTCGGATTTACTGGGTAATAATGGTACTTTCTGTACCTCTAAATAATGTGCATTTTATTAGCATTTTCGTATTTGCTGAGAGAGACCTATAGATTGGAAGAATAGGACGAGAATCAATTTAAAGTTTTTTCGCGTATTCTCAAAAAATAGACACCCCAGAAACCTTTATTGTACTTTTTTTCGCCAGAAAAGTAATTAAAGCATGTTTTATTTTTTATTGAAGGAGGTTAAGCCGTTAAGCCGTTATGCCTCTGTAAAATTACAGTCTGTCGCGTAGTTTGGGCGTATAAAACAAACCAACTACGCTACTGACAAGCCACGCGAACGACTTCGTAAACGCTAAAAGCCATGCAAGGGCACACAATGATTTCCACGTTATACATTCTTTCTGTGCTATTGATGTAGACTCTTCCGGGTAAATAAGGTACTGCAGAATTTTCAACGACCCAAAAGCAAGGAGGTTTTGGGAGACGGGGGGATTTTGGGAGATTTTCCTCGCGCCTCCTTCCATTGTGGTTGATGAGATTTCCAAAGGAAAGCCAAACTCGTTCCCAGCGTCCTTTCCTACTCGTTCCCAGCAGCGAGAAAGTGGGTCGAGTAGAAGAGCATCCTGGAACGAGGTTTAGGCAAGCAAAACTGATTGCACTTGTTTAATAAATACAGTTATTACTCTAATGAAATTAATATATTAAATGCCATGTTTTTTCTTTCTCAGCCGATTAGAATTGCATTTGCAGAGAGATCGCTGCATGTTTGTCTGCGTTCTGAATGAGTAAGTGCTGTTTTTGTACATTACACACCATTTACTGTCAAAGCTCTTTTCACTTTTCACTTCAAAAGACCGTGCTAACGGGGGAAAAAATGAACGAAAAATTGTGCACCAACTGAAGTGAAAAAACCTTTGATAATTCATTTGGAATGAGATACGCCACCCGAAAACAGATTAACAATCGCTGCGCACAACATTCTTCTATGGCTCAAAAGGAGGGAAAAAAGGTGTATTTTATAGCAAGAAATTACGAAAAAGGGAAGGCAATTTTGTAGGCAAAGAAGTATTATCATGTTTTGTTGTATACAGATATCTAGATTAGGGTTAATAACACTGACTTAAAATGGTTAGCTTTCATACGTACAGTTTTGGAAACTCCATAGAAAAACTGTATAATAACGGCATTTGGTATTGATTGTTCCTTTGGTGTAGTGGTTAAGTATTAGATAAGATAGAATAGTGTACCGATTCAAAGCTTCGTTCATTATCACAGATTTTAGAAGTGAATGTTGGACAAATGTTAAGACTGTTTAAACGGACTGGCGCACCTACATCCTACCAATTGACAAATTCCCAAAACTCATTGCGCACGCTTAGTCGTCATCCTCGCCTTCTTCTTCCTCTTCTACCGATATCCCGTGATGCTTCATGAGCGCCTTCATCATGGCCTCCAGTTGGGTGGTATGATCTAATACAGCTTTGAGTTTTGATTTTAGGGTCATTACTTCGTCTTTTAAAGCCTCCTGATGATTCTGTAGCTTCTCAATTGGAGTCTGATAAAAATAAATAGATAAATAATAATAAAAAACGCTGAGAGACGTTCCTGAAAGGTGTTTTCTTTTGTAATGCAATGCCTTGTAATCCAAAGTAAATTGAAATACGAGCAAAGAGAATGGCGATACGCAGCTTTACAAGGCCTCACGGGATTGGCTTAGAAAACAATAAAAAACAGTTACAATGGACAATTGCCCTAAAATACATTAAAGAGGCTGTGTCACGGCTACCTGGTTCATTTTGTTAATGATATCAGGTTTTTCATTGTTTACGGCAAACCTGAGAATGTCACGTGACCACAGTCTTGAAAGGCAGCAAGAGCTTCCAGCGGGAAGTGATTTTTGGCAAAAAATTTGTACAGCCTCACGTTTAAAGGCAAAAGATAGGTTCCTACACCCGCCTGCGATGTGCCAGTTAGATGTTTGAACTCAAATCAATGAATTCTTGATATTTTTCAGGCGATTAAAGTGAAGCACCCCGACTTGACGAAAAACAACGTGGTGCCACCAAACAACGAACGCTTTGTTAATATTCGAAGTACTGTCAACGTGAAACTGCAAACGCGAAACCGCAAACTGCCGTTCGCGGTTTGCAGTTTCCAAAGAAAAACCTGATGCTAAGGTCTCTAATGCCATTTACGCTTCCTTATCGCAACTGATATAGCTCCCGGGGTCATTATTGCAGGCAAGCCTCACTATCACTACCATATCAGAGGAAATAAAGCGTATACTCGCTAACCTATTCTGGGTTCATTGCCTCGTTAATTGCTCTTGCAGGACTGACATTCTGGTTCCAAAATGACCATATTGTCCAGTATCTGTTAGCATTTGGATAAACTACTTCTTGAGTTGTGGCAAACCGTTGTCTCAGCATTTCAGGAAGAGCTTTCTCTACATCTAAAGCAAGGTCAACCTACACAAAAATGGGACACTTACTTCTTAAAACCAACCTGATTACAGGATAAAATTCCCCCCGAAATAATCAAACAGGTCTATCCACGTTGTGTGTCAGTAGTTGTGGTGAACATAAAAGCATTGTTTGTCAGTTACCGTGCGTTGCATTGACAAACCTGCATGGCCAGTCTTTTGAGTACCGCTTTCTCTTGCACACCTTTGATATCGTCTACAGCCAGACCAACCTATGGTGAACAAATAAAAAACGCCAAGATTTGGTGGATACTCCTTGGAGATGGCCGCTTATGAGAGGTTCTAACTGTAGAGCTTTCACTGGAAAAGCTGATTCGGGTTTTCCCAATAGGTTTCTCAGGATTCGGGATTCGGGATTCGGGTTTTTAAAGCAACATGGGACGATATTCGGGTTGCAAGTACTCACAGTATGGAGGATAGCAATAATAACCATCGGTGGATCACGGGATTTAGCTACAATTTGGGTTAGGATGTCGGGACTGAAGAACCCTTTTAGACAACCTAGCCTCTGATTAGACTATTCTGAATGGGCGTCGTTTACGCGGAAAGGTCACTAACAAGAAGAAAGCACGGACCAAGGTTCGACTGTTGTACTGTGAAAAGAGGGAATAACTTTAATTGGAAACAAACGCAAAAGAATGCGTTTTTTTTAAAAAAAAACAAATGCTATCATTTTAGGGAAGAACATCAACGCTCGCCACTCCATTTTAAGGTACTTTTCCAACAGCATTGTATTTGTCTGTACCAAACTAGGATGACGAGTTTCGCACCACGTGATTACACTTCCCATTTGCACTTAATCTCGCAACAAATGGGCCATTACCGACTTGCCCCAGCCTCTGTTTCAAAGAGAGGCCAAGCCAGTGAAGACATATTAAATACGACATTCACGCAATAGACCTCTTTAGCTTGTATGTTTAGTTTTCCTAATAAAGGTCATGTAATAATACTCTGGAGAACTGTTTTTTTTTTCAATTACATCTTATTTATGTGCATATATACGCATAATGTATCAAGAGACAAAGGGTTAAGTTCCCCTGGGCCCCTGTTGGGAAAACAAAACATACAAGCTAAAGAGGTCTATTGAAACTCGTTTTAACTAGAAAGGTTTCGCATTTTGGGAGAATTTTTGGAATTTGTAAATGGTCCTTTTACCACACAATTTGCAAGTCGTATCCTCTAGAACGTCGACAGTCACTTACCAATAAATTCATAATGATAATGCAGTTGGTGACGAGGAAGGCTACGTACAGTATCCACGTGACCGGGGGTACCACGTTTTCATTGTACACTGTATCGTATTCATATTCTCCCAACATTCCCATTGTTGTCTTTAGCATGCCTCTGCCAGGGGTGGAGTACGGGACCTACAGATGGAAAACGAGCATCTTTCAGTCTGCTGATCAATTGAGGTTTTTGGATGACAGATTACCTACCCCTCCCCTAAGTCAAAATTATCACTTACTTCTCCCTCAGGGCAAAATTGTGACTTACGGGAAGGGTTACTCTGTAAGGAACACAGGCTTGGGACATGCCCAAGCCGCTTCGGTCAATTACTTATACGATATGTGACATATGAATGATGGGTGATTTTGGGAATCCTGCTTTAGAAAGGGGTATTCACATTCGAGACTTTCTAGCAAAGGGTGCAATATCTCTTAAAGGCGCAAAAGATTTGAAGTTGTAGTAAAACTTTTCTAGAAATAGAGATCAAATGTTTCGTATTTTAAGGACAGGGCCCAGTTGTTCGAAACCTGGGTAACACTTTCCACTGCATAAATCTCTATCAGTACAGAACTTATCCGCTGGATAGTTATTTATCTGGCGCCAGCTGCTCCAAAGGTGGATAGCGCTATCCACTGGATAAATCACTATCCACTGGAAAGGGCAACTAATTTCCCCAATAATTAACCGCCGAATAGCCATTTATTCGGTATAGAGCTATTTATTTTTTGAACAACCGCGGCCTGTTGGATAGCGCTATCCAACGTTTAAACAAACGGGGCCAGGGGTATTATTTTGAACACAAACACAAATGTTCATGTGGAGTTCTGGCGGGCGAGCATTCTCATTCAAACCTTGCCTAGTCCCTAGGCCTCATTATTCCGCACGCCCAAATCGTTTCGGGTCACGTGGTCCAGGCGAAAATGTGAGCGTTCGCCTCGGATAACTCACCGAAGTGAATTGACCGAGAGGGACTGGGAAAACGCCGTGCAGGCACCAGGCAGATTCAAACGTACCCAAGGAGTCTGTCCCTAGGAAGGGATCGAAGAATATTTCTTCCTTAAGTCTTCAAAAAATGTTGTGTTCAGCATGTGCTATTAATATTTCATTAGACAATCAGAGAACCGCTGCAACTTCTATTCAATTATATAACGAAAGCAGATGGACAGTTTACCTTATTGTATAGTAAAGTATGAAATCCTAAGCCAAAGGCCACAATAAAAAGGAAACAGACCACAAAGAACTGAGCGAAAGTCTTGAATATATCTGTGAACATCACCACATAAATTCCAAGCTTGGGAAATTTGCACATGACAAGAACAAGGCCAATCCAGGACAGGTAGACCGCGGTCGAACCTACACCGTTATGATAATCTTCAAGCACCTGGAAATGTAATCAAAAATATATGTTTATGCTCATAGGCGCTATTTCACGCTCTTTGCTGCCTTTTCAAAAAGTTAAAAACTTTTTCGCTTCAATTTAAAGGACGTGTCCCACTAATGGGAAGTATTTTTTCCCAGATAATGACTATGTGAGACAAGTAGATCATATCAGGGGCTATTGAAATCCAATAAGAAAACTGGGGGTAACCACGCATTTTTCAGAAATAACTGCGCTTCAATATGGAGAAAAACGCTGAATAGGCATTTTTTAGAAAAATGATATAAAGGTAATTTTTCCAAAAATTTCAGAGTGTACAAGTAAACTGGCACAAATGCAATTATAATTGTAACAAGGTTTCAAAATAAGCAACAAATGATAACATAACTGCTCTTTATAAGTCTGTTTTTTTTTTTTTTTAATTTCAGCACAACTGGGAAGTTATCAGCAGTTACCCCTCTCAACGCGTTTGCTTAAAAATAGTGTAAACGACATTTTTCCCGAACCAAAAATTGATCGTTTGCTGAGTAGGCTGTCTACTTTCATTTGGCAAGATAAAATGTAGGGGTTACCACACGTTTTATCATTTACGACTATATTTACGCACTGAAACTGTTTCCTGTCGTCTGTTTCTACGGATAGCAAGGATGGATATGGAGAAGAGCCATCTCCTGACATGGATTGAAACTTGACTGAAAACGTTGGGGAAATTTGTCACATATCTTCTTCATAACACTACAGGAGCATTTCTTGTTTGGGTTAACGTACTAAGTGATGATTTCAGGACAGAACTGACCCCAAAACGGCACAGTAGTCCAGCCAATCTAGGCATTTTTTAGGCTCAACATCAAATTAATTGCAACATAACTTTTTTTTTTTAAGTAAGGGTGGCCTATCTAGCAACATACTAAAAATCCGCCAAAATCCGTTTGGTGCAACATGTCAAAATTAAGCGTTAAACATTTTGAGCTTTTAACTCAGGGGACCCACGTTAGTAGAAATTATACGTTCCAACAAAAAATGCACAAAATTTGTTTGTTACTTTTATGGAAAAGTGAATGAAAAAAGAATAACTGTTTCCTAGTTTTCGGGGATAAAAACATTAAAAACGAAGAGTTTCTCTTTTTCAAACAAAATAAATATTAAACACGGTTGGCTTTCTCACAGGAAGCCCATGCTCCACTCAAGGAACCCCAAAATAACAGGAGGCTTACAGAGTAATAGAGTGAGCTGTTGGCTGTAAAACTACAACAAATTTAGTCGTAAGGCTTTAAACCTGAAAAATGAAAGCCGTTACTTAATCATTAGCTTTTAAAAAATATCCTTTTTTATCAGATTTCTTTTAGCCACAAGGGTAAGAAAAATGTATATATATTAGAGCTGGACTTTTTTAATAACCTTACAGCCAAAATAGACCTCTCCCCTAAAGCAGTCTTTTTCTTTCAAAAACTCCAAAGAAGTCAACATAAAAGCTAGGAGTGCAGCCACTGCTTTTTTTTCTTCTCCTCCTTTCTTTCTCCTCGCTCTTTCTATTTTTCCTTTCCTCGTTCTTTTCTAGCAGGATTTTCGGGCTTATTTTGCCTTAGGCTTTTGGTCTTTTTCTCAATCAAGAGACTGCAATTTTCGTTCGGTATGTGTTCAAATATCCAGCAAGATAATGCTTTGGCTTTTATGGTTACCGATACATAAACTCTCGTTAACGTATCTGCATACTCAAATATACAAGTTTCAATTTTTTGAAGCTCTTTGTTTTCTTCTTGTTAAAAGTGAGTTGGAGAAGTGGGGAGGATAGTTTTACTAATTCTTTACGATGCACAACAATGCAACGTTTTTGAACAGGTTAAGCTCCAATGCCTATGAATTTGATAACAGGGAAATGCGTTTTCATTTAAGGAAAAGTGTTGTTACCTGCGCAAAAAAAAATTATAGGGGTTAACGGAACTTTCAAAGCATAAGAACTTTGGTTCCAGCAAACGTTTGTTTGAAGAAAACGAAATAGTATAATAGGGAAGCTTGCCTTAAAGGAAAAGATTTACTCTGGGTAGCCAAAACGATGCGTATGTAAAAATATCTTGTAAGAGTCTATGGAGTAATGGAAATTCCCCACCCAGAGCATAATTCACGCAACTCTGTCAGAAGGTTAACATGCACTAAGTTGAAGTGTTACACAACGCTCATCCGAAGACAAACATTGGTTCCGCAAAAAGAGGTGACCCCATCAGAAGCTAAGTCAGGCAAGCCCATTAATGTCATACATATGTCCAGTTCTTTTGCTCCTTCATTGACAACTGCAATTATTTTCAGACGTATAGGATCCCATGATCGCTATAGAAAAAGAGGTCTTCATTTGCCAGTTGACAAAAAAAAAACTGGTCAAGGTTCAGGGTTTCTCTCACAAAGGAAATGCAAGGAGGGAATATAAACGCCTTTAGACCACAGAGCGATTAATCTACTTATTCATCTTACCAAGAAATGAAGGGCTGTCGCAGAAAATACATGACTGAATACAGAGATACACTATACTAAATCTGAGACTCGCTACGAGAAGAAGATTAAAAAAAAAAGAACAATCATACTGCGTTTTGGTTTTCCCTTACAACAGAATGAAAAGCGCAGAGCGTTACGATCTAGCAAAAACCAAATCGACGGAGTCCTTAGCAGAATATTTATTCACTCGCATTTTTAAGCACGGAGTCATAATCCGGCTTAAGGAGGTTGCGCATGTCGCGACCCTGATTTCGATCACTGATATTGTGTCCAAGGTTTGAACATAACTACCTCACAAAACTCGATTACAGGAAATGGGAATAGGTTAAACAGTTTGTACTGATACAGAGCTATCGTCCGTTGGACACATTTAGTCGCACGTATCTTGCAGCATGGATGCAAATTTAGTAGCTAAAAGAAGGTGATCAAAATAACTGTTCACCGTCAGTCAGCTACTAAATTTGCATCCGTGCTGCAGGATATAAAAAAATTACCAGCGCGTGATACTACCAAAATACGTACTGCATTTCTGATGTTGCGCAAAAAAAAAAAACAATTACTAATATTTTTATTTACTATGTTAACACAGACTGACTAATAACTTCCCTTTTAAATACCGTCATAGAAAAAAAATTAAAGCATGGAAAACAGAATGTGAAGACAGACGAGTGGCTGGGTAACCTGTGCGAAGCCCTCAAGATGAAACATTGACCCAGGTGTTCCTCACACACTTAGTCGGCGTTTTTTTAAAACAAAACTACCCAAAATGCACTAGCGATGTTGTATCGAAAATTCTTGAGGAAAAAAAAAAACAATTATCAGATGTTTTGTCTGAATTTGTGATCTTCCTGACATTGGGTTTCCTGTGGTAAAAGTTGAAAATCTTTATTTCCAATTTTTCTCATCTTTCACTGAACCAATTTTGGCGGATTTTTAGTATGTTGATAGCAATCCAACAATTAAATGGCATTGAAAAACGTTCTGTTGCAATTAGTTTGATGCTAAACCACAATTTGACTGGATTGTATCTATTTATTATGCTTTTACTTCTCCTTGCTGTAATTTATCTTGCGTGGCAAAATAATGTAAAAATAAAAATAATGAAATTATTGTTGAACAGACAACCCAAAATAAGAACTGAATTGATTGTAATTGCGCTAAGGATGTTGAATTCGTGTACCGTCTTTAACACAGTTGGACTGTGTTTGTTATTGTTATACACTCTTAC